ATAGTTTCCATCCATTTTTACAAGTTTTTAAAGCGATCCTATTTATTAATTTTATCCAAATCCTCTTTATTTAAAAATGGCACGCAACAAACTTTATGTCATTTCTCGCTGTTTCTCGCTTCTGACATCACGAATCCAATATGGTCGCGGTGACTAGGAAGGGGCCTTAACCTTGTTTCACGAATGCAAAATTTTTAAATTTCTCCGCCAGCTATATTTGGCTTTTGATTTTTACGGCTTTTTCAGAAGATAATTAGATGCTTGAGAACTGTCTTCCTATTAACGAGTAGTGGTAAAATAGACGCGGGAAAGAGAAGAATTTTAAAGTGACACTATTTGCCCCCCCCCCCCTTCTCTTCTCTTACTGCATTTTTGAATTATTACGACGACCGACGGAGTATGCAGAACGTATGCCGCAGTACGCGTGCTTTTTAGACTTTTAGCGGGAGCAAGTTCAGCCCAATATATACGACGATACATTGCATACGTGATGCAGCTGCGCGGTACACGTTTCGCTCTCGCAGTCTCGCTCGCAGTATGCGGTCAATTTCCGTGGCGAAATACCAAAGTCCATTCACCGTGTGCATGTATATATACGACCGTGCGACAGGCGTATCGACAGGCTCGCGCGGGAATAAAACCGTTATCAACATCTTCCTTCGGTATTCTTTGTTACTCACAATCAGTTGTGGCCGTTATAACGTTATCATTATTACTCACGTGTTTCTCATTCCTGTTCATCAATTTATATACGACGCGAGATGAGATTCTGCCAAACTTTTCTTCGATTCCTAATGAATCGTCTTCGATAATTGGGACAGCTCTTTCGGTCGATTATCTTAATTGGACCGGTTACATCGACAGCTTCGATTGGTTAATTAACTCCGGCAATATTGTATCTCTTCCCTTAGGTCATATTACTAATTGCATAGTGGTTCAGCGGTGCGAGAGACAATAATTTCGATTCGCTATTAATCTATTTGTGGATAATAAAAATCTCGAGTTCTAGGAATTTCATAAATTCTAGTTGAACATTTGAATGTTACTGAAACAAATTAGAGAACGTCTATTAAAACGTCTCAAATTAGTTTCGAATATTTAAAATATATCAGTTAATTTAATTTTAAAATTAAAAATACTCGCAAAATCTAATAGAATATAATTCATACATTATATCTCAGAGAATGTAATATTTCGTTACTTATTTTAAAAAATTCATCTTTTATCGTTAACTTAACCGCCAAGAATAAAAGATTAATTTCAAATTAAATGAAAAATAATAAAAATCTAACAAGATTCCCAAGATAATTAAAAATGCAAACGTTAAGTAAGACAGATGGGAATCGGCGCAGTTATTGGTACGCAATATTTCATTTATCTACTTTACTCTCATATAGTCAAACGTTTCGGCTATCGATTTTAGCCATCCTCAGTGACATTCAACGACTCTCGGTTTTATTTTCTTGCACACGTTAAGAAAATAAGAGCGAAAGTTGTTGAATGTCACTGTGGATGGCTAAAAACGATAGCCGAAATGTTTGACTACGAGAAGTATAAAGTAGATTTTATATAAATTAAATATTGCCTACCAATAACTGCGCCGATTCCCATCTGCCTTACTTACTTTTTGTATTTTTAAATAAAAAATCTATCATTTCCATTAGAGGTGTGCGAATAGTCGAATTCGAATCGAATCGAATCATAATAGATTCGATTTGAGTTCGTTTTCGAATCTGCAAGACTCGAAATCGAATAGTTCGAGAATTTCGAATCAACAAATGATTCTATTAAAAAAAAAACCGATCGCCTATTTTATTTGGTTCATTTACGTCTCCCGCGCGACTAATTATTCTTATCTAATAAATAAGTATTTTTGATATATGTAATGTATTCATATAGATTAATAAAATAATTCGAAAGCATTCTAACTATTCGTGTATACAGGGTGTCTCGTACTCAATGGTACAGCGCTTGTGGGCAGATAGTGTGGACCAAACTAAACAAAAAAATCTTCTACTATTTTGCGATCTTCGCATTAATTATCGAGATACTAATCATAAAAAAAAAATTTACGCCAGATCGGAAGAGCACACGTC